AAGTGTTGCCAGTTTTCCTTCCATGGTTTTTTCCTGTCTCATTTTTCTTCTCACCCATTCAGCGCTATGTGGTTTAAGCCATCCTTTGTCCCACTTGTCATCATAGTATTCCTCTTCTAGCTCCGTTACCTCATAGTCTTCTGGGTACTCCTCAGTGTGATCCACTGGGTCTTCCCCTCGTGTCTTGATACTTTTTTGGTAACTGTAATCGTCCTCCTCATCGGGCACTTCTTCGAGAGAAACGGTCTTTTTATTACGACTAGGAGGTGCACATAATGGTCCCACCGACCCGCCCACCGGGGAACATGAGCCCCCGGTGCCATTATGTGTTAGCGACGAAGGTGGTAGATGTACCGTGATGGGCTGTGAAGGGATGGGGTCCCCGTTCGTCTTGACTGTTCTTTTCGGGGCAGCGGTTTTATTGCTGGGGATTCGCGTTCCCTCTTGCGGCTCCGTTCCACGATGGGGGCAGCCAGTCACTCGTGGCTGGCACGTACATTCTGCCCCCGAGTGGGGTTCTTCACTTCTCGCCTTGGGCTCGGCCGCTCTTCCTCTGTTCCCCACGCCGTCATCTGCCCCTGACAGAGTGAGGTTGATCCCGAGTATCCCGCCACCTTTCGCAGGACTAGCTGCTTGTGCTTTTGCACCGGTGGCCAAGGACCTTGAATGGGGTTCTTCTTCGAGCACGGTGGAAATCCCCTGTACACCGTTCTCCTTTTTATGCGACTTGGTAATTTCATTTTGTGAATGCGTGAAAGTGTTATCATTGCCTCGAGTTACTACATGCGGTACATTAGTCCGACCTGCAGGATTCTGTGACGCACCACTAAATGAAATTATGTCCTTTGCCGACGCGCGTTTGTCGCTTACGCCGCCGGCTCGTCTTTTACCTCCTCGATCTTTGATGTGGAGGCTTCCCCTTCTTCATCCTTCAGTACTTGCTGATACATTGCACGGATTTGTGCGCGCAAGAATTTGGGTTGGTGTTTAACGAGCCACGTACTTTCGTCCTTGGGGCACTTGTTGTCTTGCTTCCGGTGTCCCTTGTGACCGCAGCGGAAGCATCGCCCCTCCTTTCATAGTCGATCTATTTCCATCGGTTGTCCTTGCCCTCCGTACGTGGTTCCCGTTCCCGTCTTCTTATCACCCTGGGAATTCCCAGAGCTTCCGGCTTTTCCCGTTCCCTTGTTCTGTTGACCCTGCATCCCCTGATTTCAGCCTGCGTCCTCTGCTAATCCCACGCGGTAGTTGTAATCCATTTGTTCCACTCGGAACTTCCATTCTGCGTAGGTGCATGGCAACACGGTTCCAGTGGCATGTATGGCGGTTTTCACGTTCTTTTGGATTGCCGGCTTGAGTATTTCGATCATGTATTCCTCGTTGTGGCGTTTTCCAGACTCTTTTGCCAATCATTCAAAGTCCCGGAAAAACTCCTTGGCCGACTTGTACGTGTTTTGTCGGATTCACTTGAACTCCTGTAATTTGAGTTCTACCTCCGCATCGGTCCGGAATTGGTCTTCAATGATCTGCCTGAACGTTTGCCATGCTGGATATCGCAGGTAGCCGCATGTTTCATCATAGTATTCGTCCCTGGCGTGATTCCACCAGTGCAGAGCCTTATCTGCTAGTCGGAACGTACAGAACACCACCCTGTTAGGGCTTTGTCTGTGCACGTTCATCGTGAATTGCTGCAGGAATACATTGAAGTAGTCCTCGCACTGGTTAAGGAACCGGTCTACGTCGCTGGATTCTCCCTTGAACTTTTCGGGGGGTTCCGCCAGTTGTGGCTTTACCTGTCCCCATGGGTTGGTGTTTGCTATTCCGACGATAAAGGGCAGTGGCGTGTTCGGTGGTTGTACAGGATCGGCGGGTATAGGGATTGCCACCGGGCACGGCAGTGATCATAGCGCAGGGTTGTGGTGTGGAGATAGGGGTCCTTGTGGTGCAGGGGCTGGTACCGCAGGTTGGGCTGGCACCGCGGCTGTGGCGCCTGTGCTCCCTGGAGTTCCTGTGGCTGAAAACAGCTGGCTAGGGTCGACGTATCCTGTCCTTTTGAGGATAGATAGGTGGCTTAAGTCCACCGTGCTTCCACTTGATGCTTCTGATGGGGTGGGCACCTGGTACCGTTCTCCGGGGTCCGTGTAGTCATCCGGGTGTACTTGGTTCCACAGAATGCTCGTGTGGAACACGGTTTCTTGGTACAGTACCTGGCCTCCGATTGGTGAGTTCCTTTCCTTTTGGAAGTACCTCCCTTGGGGCAATCCGTTCCATGAGATTTCTCGTGGTAACTTCTTCTCCGTCCAGCGTAACATTTCCAAATAAGTCATATTTTCTAACTCGGCCTCAGTAGGCTCCCGAGCTAGATCCTTCCATGAACTCTGGGATGACGTCTTCGTCTCCATACTCTCCCGCCCGGTGTAGCTGCTCCAAATCGAAAGCGGCACGGTTCCAGGGTTCTCGTAGATTTTGCCTTCTTCTAAGTCCGAGTGGTCGGACTCGCTCGAAAGGCTCTGGGCTTCCCGTAACGATTCGGTTCCAGTTTCTGATAATTCGGGCCCACTCGTTGACCCTGAGAATGACCTGATCGAAGTCGGGTCTTCGAGGTCGGTCCCATACCCAGGGTGCAATGTAGGGGACGGGGGCTGCGAGGGGATGTTTGGGTGCAAGGGGATAGATGGCGTATGGGACGACGGATGAGGGAGGTTCGATTCCTCCATACATGAGCCAGGTGTCGGTGTAGTCCTGTGCTTGTCTGCATACATCGCAGCTGGCGTCGGCGTCGTATGTGGGCTCACATCGGTCGAGCTCGGTAGTGGCTTCCCCGGCCCTATCGTTGATGATGATTGGGGTGTTGGGACGCGTGACGAGCTGGAGGTAGCTTTCCTCGTCGTCGGGGGAACTGCTACGGGCGTAGTAGTTGCCCCACGTTTCTCCTCTTGAGTCCAGCCTTGGAGGGGTCCAGTGGTTGCGCAGCCCTGGGAGCTCGTCGCCGTCACTGTCCTCCTCTGTATCGCTGCTTTCTTCATTTGAACTGCTTCCAGTTCCATCTTCAACCTCTCTTCTTTCTCCCAGATGGTGTCTAAGCCCTCTTTGATAGAGGCGCTGTCCATCTGAATCATAGCCAGGGTTGGCGGCGGAGTTTTCGGTTGATGTTGGGGAAGGGGCGCTCCAGGGGTCACTTCCTTCGCTTTCCCCTTGGCTTTCTTCCTCGGTAATGGGAGAGAGAACACGCTGGTCCACCCCTTGTTCGTAGACTCCTCGCTCTTCTTCTTCTTCAACGACTGGGCCTCTTTGTGGGGGCCATCCTTCCACCTCGGGGTTGGACTCGTTGGACTCGTCTGAGTCGGAGTCCTCTTCTGTGATCCACTCATCGTCGTTGATGAAGATGAAATGGATGATGGGTTCAGGTCTGTTGTCGACATAGTCGGGAGGGGGTGTGTCCGGTCGTCTAGCCTCCGGGTTGGGGGCTTCGACGGGGATAGCTTCTTCAGAGACTGGCTCCTGGTTTCGTCGGTGTTCGTATCCATATAGGAAGGCGAGGTAGGCTATGGCTACGAAGCCTTGTAGTCCAAACAAGTTGGTGAGGTACTGTTCGATGGGGTTCATTCGCTACTGTTTGTCAACGCGGTTGTTGATGAAGAGTAAGAAAGTCTCGAACTAATTGTTAGCGACCGATTACACAAACAAGATTAAACAACTAGGCGTGACTCGCACTTTGGTCAGGCGCCTTGTGTTGTCCGCAGGTTTATGTGCAGGGAGCTATCACTTAGTTGAGCGAGAGTGAGTTCAGACTAAGTTATCGGGTGAATAAACTTTAGTTCGAGACTGAGGTTTAAGACCTGCAGTCGAGCTACTTAAATACAGTTTGGGTCGTGCTAAATATACTACAAGTGTCTGCAACGGTACTGTAAACGTACGGAACCCTCATGGTAGTATGCGATCCAGGTCAGAGAATTAGTATAGCGAGATTACGAGAGAGTCGATAAGATAAGATAAAGCACGAAATCGTAATAGGCCATGGGATCCCAACCTCAGAACCAAACTTGGAGCATATCCACACTTACTAATACCATAAGTCTAAAGCTAGCTTACTAGGATATAAAATGAAAGATAATAGGGGTGGAGAACCTATTCAGAAACACGAAGCATACTTTCAAGTAATTGCTTATAGATAACATAATTGGCAGGAATTCATCAGGGCCTGTGCAGCTCTGGCCTTCTTCACCTCTTCGATCCATAATCCAACCATGTCATCGTAATCCTCTGGCTTTGCATCCTCTTCCCTTTCCACAAAAGGGGTCAGCTCAGTATATGTCTCACAAGCCGGAGTCCCCCAATGCCTCACCAAATCCAAAAAAGCATCCAGCGTTGGATATGTATCAATGAACTCTAAAAGAACCTCCGTTTCGAAGTTGTACATGAAATACCGGGTACCGATCCTGATGACAGTTTCGTCCGAGTTACGGTGGTACATTATGACATAGATTTCCCCAAAGATATGGTGATGGATTTCAATGTCGACACTCACGAAAATCTGGCCATTGACAAGGGGAAATAGATGCCTGCGAGATGGGAAATATTTCCAATCGTTGCTCCATTTTGGAGGTAGTCTGTGAGAAGGGCCTTTGTACAGGTGGGGATTCGGGACAGAGAAATCCATGTCTAGTTGGGTCTACAAATGAATGTCAGAATAATACAGGAAAGATTATCATCTCCACTTACTGCCATTTTGAGGAAAACGGAGCTGGAGTGATAAGAACGAGACGAAAGGTGCAATAGGAGTTTCAGTTTGAACAATTTATAAAGGTAGACTTATAATTGATCATCTTGAGACAGAACAAATCAATGTCTAACATAACTTGGACAAATTTCAGAACTAGAAAAGCCAATGCCATACGCACCGATATGAACAGTAATTAGATACAGTTAGAACGGCGATATCTGGCGACATGTGTAGTTGCAAGATCTCGTATGGACAATTTCACTTTGAAAGCACCATATGCAAGCAATAATTGCAAGGTACTATAGGTGCAAGCCATCACAATGGCAGCTAACGGGTATTACATTACCAAGGTCGAAATACTAGCCTGTTCCTTGAACAAGTTCCTGGCCCACGGTTCAAAAGGCATTCTGGGTTATCCGATTAACTCTCACATACAAGACTCTACACCCATTTCGCCTCAATAGCATCATACTGCGTCTGGTTCACCGGCACAACCACACCATGCTTCGTCAAAGCAGGGAAGTTACTCCTGTCCCCGTTCACCCAAGTAACACCCCCATCATCGGTATACTGCGGTACATATCCCTAAACAAATGCACGTCAGACACAGCCATCTCGAGAGCGTTTGAAAGATATACATAAACTCAGGTATCAGTACCATATTCATCCAGCCAAAGGTGAATACGACCCTCAACCTCATTGTCATGGAACGCGAGCGGCCCCTCAGTCACATACGGGTTAACATATCCATCTCCGATCTTCGTCCAGGTTCCAAAGAGACCGCCATTGGAACGCTCGGCCCATACATGAAGAACCGTCTCGTTCTTGATAAACCGGATGTATTCACCATCAGAGAGAGGGAGGATTGTGAGGTCGATGATGGGGAGTGCCAGGTATGACGATGTAATCCATCGCTTCAGTGAACGTTCGGAAGTCGGAAGTGTAGGCGGATACGATACGGTCCTCTGTAGCTGTTCCAGTGTGCTATGTATATACATTAGGACAGGTAACGGAGGGGAGATACCAGGACGTACAGCAGTGTCGTCCGCATCATAGAATCTTGATGACCAATAAACGAGATATTTCTCTGCATCTGCATCCCAGATAGCTTCGGGAGCCCAAGCCATTCCAGCTGTCTCACCAACAACCTCCGCAAGCCAATCGCTGCTCCAATTCACAAGATCCTCGCTGTTAGCCACTAACTCTAATCGACTTAGATCGTGCTAGGGTCCCTACTCGCACTTTGGTAGGAGACGCTCAAGCAAGTCAAAGGCGACGAAAGATGATGGTGCAGATAGTCACAAAGAACAGAGTTCGATGTTAGGTAGATTAAACCTTAGCCGAAGCTGGGGTTCAGCCCAGCTGAGGCTCTACTTAAATACAAATGGATACGCTAATAATAGTACTGTGGGAAATGATCCGTCGGGATCGCATATGAGTAATCATGCTGAGTAAAACGAAGAAAAATGAATAAACCGTAACATTACCCCCCCCTTAAGACTCGTTCGTCCCGAATGAGCCAGTAGATTCCTCCCCATCGGTTTCATACGAACCAATGTCGGAAACACGCTCATCGTCATCCCAGTTTTCTATCACCTTTTGAAGGAGTTTGACATCAGTTTTGTCATCAGATGGAGGGTCGAGTAAAACGGGTGGATTTTTGTATGGTCGATCTTCCCGTCGCGAAGCTTCAATCTCGAGTTTTCGTCTCTTTAAGTAGGAGTCCCGTACCTGAGGATCGTAGAGTTTGTGCTCTTCACGGCGTCGAGGGTATGGTTTAAGGGAGCCCGCTTCGCTAGGGTGATCGTGGATATACTTTTTGTTCTTCTCCAGGAGCGCGTCATCCATGGCCTCGGAGATGTCGACCATCAGTCTTCTGTTGGACGAGGTGACGGATGCTAGTCCTATACTTCGACCCGCATCTGACCCATCTACTTCTCCTATAACGTTGAGCTCTTCTGAGTGCCTCGAAGCCATACATTGAGAGGATGGGACCGTTACGATGTCGGTTACACACGGGGTGTCCAGTTCGTGATAAGGGATTGGAAGATTGCGGGGTATATTGTCATCTATCCCAACCGTCTTTCCTTGCTTGTTAACCGTCCACCACACCTTTTGGATATGGGTTTTGTAGTCGTTAACGAGCTCTTCAGCGTTGGCCATGTTTGAACGTTTAACCCATGAATTTTCCTCCGCCGGGTATCCCTTCCACTTCACCAAGTACTCGGTGATAGTGCGGCGAGTTTGTCCATGGCCTATGACCCGATCTCTCTCTCCCACGATCTCCTTGATCTCGTATTCCTCTTCATCGTCAATGAGCTCTGGGGGTGGTTGCTCGGGACGTGGCTGGTTTGGGAATTCGGGGGCGTGGTATGGCGTAAGTAGGGATTCATTGAATCGATTATGGATCCGCCATTTCACCGGGAGCTTCAGCTCGTAGGCCGATGCTCCTTTCTTTGCCATAATGGTGAATGGCCCCACTCGCCTATCTCCCAACTTCTTTGTCGGACGGGGTAGGTTCAGGTTGGTGGAGTCTAGCCACACCTTGTCCCCGATCTGGTATTCCAGCGCCTTTCCTTTGTGCTTGTCGTAGGCCTTTTTCATTGATGTAGCCGCTCGTTCCAGCAACTCCCTCGCCTTCTCTTGCACTTCCTGAATTCCCTGGACCAATTTCGAGGCAGCCGGTACCGCGTCCGGGCGTTGGGCAGTCTTAATAACCTGCCCGTCGCGTCCAAAGACCACTCTGTACGGGGAAAAACCCATCGCAGAGTGCTTCCGGTTATTGTGAGTGAATGCCGCGAGTGGCAACCACTCGCTCCAATCGTCTTGACGATAACTGACGAACATCTTGAGGTATTTTTTGATTTCTTGGTTAACCCTCTCAGTCTGTCCGTCTGTCTGGGGATGATAAGCGGTCGAAGGATTCCCTTCTACCTGTATCAGCTTGTAGAACTCTTTCATGAATTTGGACACAAAGACCGCCCCCCTATCCGAGATGACTTTCTCGGGCATTACTCCATAGGGTACGTAGACGTGATCCCTTAGGATCTTGGCAAAGCCCATGGAGGTAAGCTCCTCGGTGCAGGCGACAGGAATAATTGTTTTGGAAAACCGGTCGACTATTACCAGAATGGAGTTAAACCCCCTAGAATCAGGGAGTTTGGTGATCATGTCGACAGATATATGAGTCCAGGGGCGATCTGGTACTTTGTTTGGGTGAAGAGGTGCCTTCTTGGGCCGGCGGTCTGCCTTGGTCCGTTGACAGACTTCGCACCCCTTGACATAGGCTTCTACGTCCCGGCGCATACGAGGCCACCAGTAATCCCGTAGAATGAGCTCTTTTGTTTTCTCTATGCCCGGGTGGCCCGCGGTTACATGATCATGCTGCAAGGCTATGATTTCCCCTCGTAATTGTCGATCGGAGGGCACGTAGATACATCCATCATACCATAACAGGTCTTGAACTCGGGAGATCCCCTTTTCATGGTTCAGGGAGGTGGATATACCTCTATCCCACTTGCGCACGTCGTGGGTGGCCAGCTTGAGGCATTCATGCAGGTCCTCTTCGGTGGGCATGACTAAAGCCCAGAAGTGCTCGGGCTTTAGGACGGTAATGTCCTTGTTGTCACTCCTCCCCTGGTCGTGGTCCACCCTTCTCGATAGTAGATCTGCTTTGCGGTTTTGGGCCCCTGGCTTATGATGTAAGGTGAACTGATACTCTGCTAGTTCCGTTACCCATCGTGCTTGTCGTCGGTTGAGTTTCTGGGGCTTCCTGAAGTATTGAAGGTTCGAGTGGTCCGTCCAGATCTCGAAATCTTCTCGTGCGCCCATGAGATACTGGCGCCATTCCTCCAGAGCGATCATTATGGCAAGAAGCTCCTTGTCATAAATTTCGTAATTTCGCTCGGTGACCGACAATGACTTGGAGAGGAATGCCACCGGTCGCCACTTTTCTTCCTGCCATTGGGATAGTACTGCTCCGATCGCCCCCTCACTAGAGTCTGCCTCCACCCTAAACCTTCCTTCGTTGAGCAGAATTGTGAGCACCACATCTTCGCGGAATAGTTCTTTCAGCTTTTCAAACGCCTTCTGCTGGGCCTCCCCCCACTTCCATTCTACCTTCCCTGTTAATAGGGTAAGAGGTTTAACGTGCTTGCTGTAGTCACGAATAAACCATTGGTAAAAATTGCAGAAGCCTAAAAATGATTGAAGCTCCTGCTTTTTGGTGGGTACCGGCCAGTCCAATAGGCCCGCGATCTTGACCGGGTCTATGCGAATCTTCCCTTCGCTAATTAGAACACCCAGATACTCGGTTTCCTCTACTTCAAATTCGCATTTCTCCACCTTTAAGAACAGGTGGTTGGCTCGGAGAATTTTGAGTACCTCGCGTACTATGCGTCGGTGGTCCTTCTTGTCCTTGGAGGCAATGAGTATGTCGTCGAGGTAGACCGACACTTCCCCCGCCGTTATAAGGTCCTTGAAGATGTCGTTCATCATCCACTGGAAGGTTGCTGGGGAGTTCGTGAGCCCAAAGAACATTACGAGGGGTTCGTAAAGGCCGCGATTCGTCCTAAAAGCGGCTTTCCACTCGTCTCCCTGCTTTATCCTGACATTGTTGTACCCCCACCGCACATCCAACTTTGTAAAGTACTTGGCCTTCTTTAGCCAGTCCATAAGCTCTCCGATGAGCGGCAACGGATATCGATTCTTGATTGTCATCTCGTTGAGCTTTCGATAGTCTTGGACTGGACGAAGCTTCCCATCCTTTTTCTTGACGAAGAAGAAGGGGGAGGCCATGGGAGATTTTGAAGCCTGGATTCGCCCCATGGAGAGGTTCTCATCCAAGAACTTGTCCAACTCTTCCTGCTCGGTAGGGTTGAGGGGATAGACTTTACAGTCTAGGTTAGCGTTAGCATTGGGTATCAACTCAATGGCATGGTCCCAGGGCTTCCGTGGTGGTAACTCGTCGAAGTTTTCCTTGGCGAACACATCCTCGAACTCCCTATACTCCTCGGGCACTATTTCTTCAAAAGATTTAGAGGCTTTACGGGCGTTGGCTTGGGCGGCTAGTTCATTGGCTTTAGTCCCCATGGCTCGTACGTGGAGTGCCTCTTCAAAGTCGATCACTAGGATAGTGTCCCCTTCTTCATACTCCTCCCATCGCGACGAAGGATCGGTGTCCAGGAGGGAAAAGGGAATTTTACGACAGGCGCAGCGGGCTAAATGTTACGGTTATTCTTTTCTTTTTCTTTTTCTTTTCTTTTCTTTTCTTACTCAGCCGGATTATGCGTAGGCGATCATCACGGACTGACTCTCACAGTACTATTTTTAGAGTACCAACGTGTATTTAAGTAGGGCCTCAGCTGGTCTCAACCCCAGCTTCGGCTAAGGTTTAATCTACCTAACTTCGAACTCCGTCCTTCATGACTATCTGTCCCATCGACTTCATCGCCTTTGACTTGCTAAAGCGTCGCCTACCGAAGTGCGAGTAGCGACCTTAGTACGATCTAAGTCGATAGAGTTAGTGGCTAACATTTAGCCGAAGCTCGTCTTCAGTTGCCCAACGACTTATCGTTGCCCAACATTTTTCCTATCACTCTCTTCATTGTTGTGGCACTCTCCGTGCTGCAATTTCTCCTCAACGATCCCCTTGGATTGGTCATTGTGACCATCCTTCGAACTTTCCTTGCCTGCGCATACATCCCGTCTCCAGTATTTGCAGGACTACTCCTGCTCTTCTGGGTTGGATTTCTGCGCCATTATTAAAAACACGAAACCCTTCATTCTCGCCCTCCAGCTCGCCTCCATATTAACAGTATTGCTGTTAATATTGACGAGTACCTCTGATTCCGAAAACTGCGAAATCGTGTTAATGAACGGTTCCAATTACGAGACCGACCTTAGCTTGATTATCGCAATCCTCATCATCCTCACCATCCTCACTGTTTACCAGCTTGCATGGTCCATCGTCGACTTACGCCAAGGATAGATTCGCGGACGAATGCCCTGGTCCGAATCCATTCTCGCCGTCTTCGTGACTTTCATACTCTTTTTCTGCTCCATTATTTTGTACTATCTACGCCGTTGCTTCCAGCGACAGGAGCGAGTCCGCGCACAGCTACCGTTCCATTACGTCCCCAGCACCGCGGCGTACCCCCCACCCATAATTCACATTCCC